TGCTGGGGCAGCAAGTTGAGAGTAGCAGACGCTGACAGACTCAACAGTGTGTTTATCACAGTCATTATATTTTAGTTTTAGTCTTTGTCAATTGGAGACACAAAAATGAATGATATGACATGTCTTTTCACCTCTGCTTTTAGTGATTACAGTCTAACTTCAGTCGCATAGGGTGTTCGGCATTCTACAATGACATACCTGCATTTACATTTTAGCTTCTATTGTCCTCCGTAATGGTCGACTTCACGGTCTTGTGAAATAAGATAGTAGAGCCAGAAAACTCAGAAGAACAGAATGTAATCTTTTTTTTGGGGGGGGGTTTTTTAACATCTATCCTTTTGTCTTTTTGCTTAACATCACAAGTTGCCACACCTGTTCTTCTGGTTTCACATAACAGCTTCGTACAGGCTTTATAATTCGTTTATACATAAGGACATACTACTGTCTGACAATAACAAAAACACACATTATATTTAATAGTTTCTCACTGGATTATAGACTTATGTTGAAAGAAAAAGAAAAATACAACATATTATAGTAAAATACTAATTTAGGAGCACAGAGGATAAAACCAAGTGGAAAACAAGTGGAAGTGGAAGAAAGTGTTTAAAGTTTGAATTAACATTTTTCCCATTAATACTGCATATAATTGTGTATATATATGTATCATATATATATATATATATATATATATAGCTATATTATATAATTTTATATATATTATTTTGTTCCTTATTGTATTTTTACACTTCTCTACTTTTTGCACTGCATTTCCCCTGTGCTGCTGTGTCTGACTCCCATCTATAAAGGAACATCTTATCTTATCTTAGCGGATCTTTGCTTATGTACATTCCTCATCTTCTCATTGTTGTTCAGTTGGAGTTGGTACAGTACTCACCAGATAAATGACAAGTGATCAAACAACTGCTTAATGAATACAGCTTTAATATATTATCCCACATATTTTTTGCCATCATCACGAATATGCTTGTTTATATAATGTAACATGTCCTATAATATCAAAATACAATATATTCACAATGAGTAACTTCATTGAGAATTGGTGTTGATGTAGGTTTTATAATTCCATTTCCTCCATCTTTAAAAGTACTGAACAGTTACTAGAGAATTAAAATATAAAAGTATATTTTAAAAAGATCTTTAAATGCTTTCATATCTGTGACACATTAGATTTAACTAGTTTTTGTGAGACATATGAGGAGCAATTGCTGGAAAAATAATGTAAGAAATTAAAGAAAATCATTTAATAAGTTCAATACAAGCTGTGTTTGAATTAACAAATTGGTTCAATCTCCACAAGGTAACCTTTTTAATCAAATGATCAAGTGAATTAAATTGATTAAGCTAAATACTTTTGTTTTTATTATTTTCACTATGTATTTTTCTAAATTTATAAAATGCAATAACATAGGCAGCAAAAGTGAGATGCAGATATATTATCAAAAACTGCATTGTCTTGTGACTTGGAATTAGCAGTATGTTTGATATGATGATAAACTGCCCAGTCTGGTTGATCAGGTATTCAGCTCTGCCTCATCTGAGTGCTGTGACTGGTTACAGTGCACTGGAGTGGAAGTCTCCATGAATCCCTAGTCATCCTTGCAGCCTGTCTGATCTGTGGCCTTCATCCTGAACAGGTCGATTCCTTCATTGATCAGCAGTTCTTTGGCATATTGCACGGTCTCTGGAGGCAGAAAGCGGGACCGGCCGAGGATCCAGGCATAGTCGATATGGAATATGCGGAGGATGTCGGTGCAAGAGTACACAACAGACAGGCTGGTGTAGTCAGTGGTCAGAATCCAGTAGGGGCTATAAGGAGTAACTGGGAGCAAAGATCACAGAGACAGAAGAGAGAGAGATGATGATTGTAATGTATTTGACTGTACATCATATTCCATCACATATAAAAGAGTTTCTAAATTAATTGAAAAAAAGAAACACAGTATACTAAAAACTGTAAAACAGAGACATCTAAGTAAGATTAAAATCAAAACCTGGAAGAAAAAATTTAAAAAAAGAAGAAAAAGAAAAAAATTACAGAGAAAAGATAGTGTTTATGTTGGGGGAAAATATCACATTTCCTTTTAGATCACAGTTTAAATAAAGTATCATCTGCATACTGATGAACAGTAACACTATCACGTCTCTAGCCATACTACCTAAAAGCTAATGTCAGTATGCTAAGATTCTCACATTGACAATGCTATTGTGCCAATGCTAATGTGTATCATCTTTACCATCTTAGTGTAGCTTGTCAGCTTGCTAACATTTGCTAATTAGCATTAACTGTGGTTAAGTTATTACTATTCAGGGGAACATGAATGTCTGTAGCACCAACTTTCATGGCAATCTATCCAATAGTTGAGACATTTCACTCAAAAACACAAATGTGATCCTCATGGTGGCACAAAATGAAGATCAGGGTATTATCAAAGGCAGTATGGATATCTGTATCAAATATTATGGCAATTTGTCCAATAGTGAGAGATGAGATAATCCTGTTTGGACTGAAGGGGAGTAACCGACCGACATTGCTGTCCCTAGAGCCTGCCTGAGAGGTCAGACTGGTCGCCTTAACAGCTGCGGCAGTAATGTTATGCTCAAGTTGACTAAAAAGGACATAAACATCTACTGATGAGTATGTGGACCAGAACAGATGATTCACAGACTACATAGACTGGCATTGTTATTGACATTACAAAGGCTGCTGCATCATGTGTCAGCCGATACATCATCATTCAAAAGCTATTTGTGTTCTTTAAACAGCAAGAACTCAAATAGGCTCAGTGCCGAGTGGAGAAAGTCTGAAAAAAGTAGGGACTTTTCTGTTCAATGTTCTGTCTACAATTTTATAAGGTATGAAAGAGAAGAGGAGGAATAACTAAAAATGGGAGAAGCAACAAATAGAGGATAAGGATGAAGAAGCATACTTACAGTATGAGAAGCTGACTCCAAGTTTGGCAGGTTCTCTCGGGTCTTGAATCACTGCTGTCCCCTCTGCTGGCCTCACTTTGTCTTTACTGAGAGAGACAGAGAAACAATTCAGTTTGAACTTTATTAAACTAATATGAAGGATACACCAAATCAGCAGAGCCACATGCTGTGGTTGAGTGAGGAACAAACAAAATAGTGACAGTGAGAATTCAAGTCTGGGGTGCATACTGTTTAAGGCCAAAGTTGGTTGAGTCCTCCAGTCTTTCCTGAGGTGTGCCACCAACACGCCATCAGTCTGTATTGTTCACTGTCCATATACTAATAATTATTTCTATATTGGTTGCCTTGAGGTAATCTCTATTGTTTTACATTTTACATTTTCACCTACTTTATTTACTGATTAGTTGTGTTACTGTCCTGTAATGTGTTTGACACAATACAGGACAGTAACACAACTAATCAGTATTCTAATAAAATGTATTTTTTAATATCTTTTTCCATAATCCATTATGGATGCAACTATTCACATCAAATAAATCTCAAGTTTCAAACAACCCTGTTATTATGAAAAAGAAAATGTGCAATACATCCACAATGTAAAAAAAATAATAATCTCTATTTAACAGGTTAAACAGTGAGCTTTAGAAGCCCTGGTAGGTGGAATTTGTTACCTCTAGACAACGGCATGCTAGCTGTTTCTCTTCATTTCCAGTCTTTATGCTAAGCTAAGCTAACTGGCTGCTGGCTCTAGCTTCACATTTACTGTAGAGATAAGTAAATGTAGTTCCCAAACTGTAAAACTATTTCTTTAACAGAGCCCAGACAGAAAGAGAAAAACTGAAATTAGATGTAAACGATGTACACAACCAGTCTGTTTGTTTCCCACGCAAAATCTCTGACACTGAACAAACAAATCAAATGTTCCTTCAACTCCAAATCAACAATAAAAATCCCTCAGTACTCACTAGAACTGGGTGTTTAACACCCGGATGGTTCCATCTTTCCTCACGGCGTAGTTGGCCTCGATGCACTTTCCTCTCTCGAAGGAAGCAGGGAGCTTCTCGATCTCGTACCACCTACCCAGGTACTGTTAACAGAAAGGCCCCTTTAGTTCTGTGTAGTTCAGAGCACAGTGCGTATGAATGAGTGTTTTTATGTGTGTTCACCTGTTCCACGTTGAAGCCGGGCTGCACCTTAGGATCAGGACAGGGACCCCAGTGATAGGTCTGAGCTGACACCAGAGGGAGCAGCAGCAGGAGGAGGGAGACGGCAGACATTGTTCCTTCAGGAGAGGACGGAAGATTATAGAAGGTGAAATTAAAGAATTCACATCAAAGTCTGTTTACAGGAGAAGAAGTAGCTTTAGGTAAAAGAAGCAATACCATAATGGAGGAATACTCTCTTACAAGTAAAGGTAAAGAAATACAGGATACCTAAGGTGCCAAAAGTAAAAGTAATTATTGGGCGGAATGTTCCATTGCAAGATAATATAGCTGGTAAAGGTGGAGCTCCATAGAGTGTTGGCATTCTACATGACATACCTGCAGGTATTTACATTTCAGCTTCTATTGTCCTCCGTAATGGTCGACTAGGAGTTCAGAAAACTCCAGAAGAACAGTATGTAATCTTTTTTTCGCTTTGTGTTTTTTTTTTTTTTTTAACATCTATTCTTTTGTCTCTTTGCATAACATCACAAGTTGCCACACCTGTTCTTCTGGTTTCACATAACAGCTTCGTACAGGCTTCATATTTCTTTCATACAGAAGGACATACTACTGCCTGACAATAACAAAAACACACATTATATTTAATAGTTTCCCACGGGATTTCAGCCTTATGTTGAAAGAAAAAGAAAAATATAACATATTATAGTAAAATACTAATTTAGGAGCACAGAGGATAAAACCAAGTGGAAAACAATTGGAAGTGGAAGAAAGTGTTTAAAGTTTGTATTAAAATCATTTTCCCCATTAATACTGCATATAATATATATATATATATATGATACATAATATATAATCCCCCTCATTCACAACATAAAACCTGTCTTACCCTCAGGTGTGCAGGGGCCAGGTGGAGCTCTGTCTGTCGCAGCTGCTGATGGGAACTGTCTCGAGCTCTCTGCACAAACAGTGTTCACGTTCACGTTACGTGACTCTGGCAGCACGAGGCAGCTCGTTAGGTAAATTGTCATCATGCGCACATTCCCACGTTGAGACAATGCGCGCGCTGTGATAGGGTTCAGGGTTTTATTCATTCACTTCCACACGTATTTTTATCTTTAAGCACGCATTTAGTTACTCCTTCATCACTGTAGAGTTTTATCAGAACAACGTTTTATAATTACATTATTTACTTTAAAAAAATTAAAAATAAATAAAGTTTATAGTAACTTTTAAATGTTATTCATTGATATTCCGATGTATGTTGTGTTGCTGATAATCTGATAAGTAGAACCTTTCATTGATGTTAAGCCCTATACGTTTTATTTATCCAGCTACACTATTTTATGTCTTTTATTTTGAATTTATTTTTACTATTTTATGTAATTTTATTATATTTTAGTCATTTTATTCTTTTTAATTCTCTGTATTTGCATTTGCTGGATTTTACACGGTTGTTTTAATTTAGTTTTTTCCGCTGTAAAGCACCTTGCAGCACTGTTTCAAAGGGTGGTTTAAATAAAGTTTATTATTAGTATTATATGTGGCGTTCATTGCTGTATACCACGTTGTTATTCTTGATAATACCACCAGATGGCGACAAAGTAAGAAAGAGAGTCAAATTCAACACATACAGTAACTTCAGATCATTCATATGTTGTTGATGTGTTGTCGTGTTTTGGGTCAAATTCTAACTTGTACTTATCATGTATTTACTCATTATTTATTCAGTTTTATCTCTCAGTGTGATGTTTGAACAGCTGTTCCAAAGCCTTCACTGTACTGCCAGGAATATGACGTAATGTTATCTGTACATATAACAATTGAGACAAAGTAACATGTCAGAATCAGCTTCCAGGGAAAATCTTTCCCGGTTCCTCAAACCTTCACATTCCTAGAAACAACGCCCAGGACATGACCTCAGCGTCCTCAGCCCTGCTGACACATAACAGGGTTATTGTTTGGTTTTGCAATCCCCTTCATCCTGATGTCAACTTAAATTCACTTTTCTTCTGCAATATGTGCAAAAAGCTGTCAGCAGTATTAACCAACCCTAAAAACTGAGTTACGTTCCAGCCACTTTAGCCTCACACACTGATTGCAAACAGAAAGCTTGACTCTCAAATCTCCTGCATGTAAAAGTCCTTCCATGTTTGTTTTTTAAATCCAAGAATTCCAGTTGGTATCTGCGTTTTAATTCACCAGAGAGAACAAACTTCATAGTTGAAGTATTTATTGGAAATTACTTCCAGGATCTTGATTGATCAGCTGAAATTGGCCATTTTTTTTTAATTTGGAATTCTTAAACTGCTAAACATCAAACCTATCTTGGAGGACACAACGTTGACAATGTCTAACATTATTTTACATGTTAATTAATAGTAATTAATAGACAACAAATCGAAATTTGGTCAAAATTATGACCCATTATATAATTTACATTTACACTACCAGTAATACTGCAATATTTTTTATATTTATTCACCTTGAAAATTGTTTTTTTTGAGGGGTAGATGTGTTTGCTATATATTCCCGTAAAAACTAGACTTGAAGTCACATTGGGCAAACAAATGACTTGATGCAAGTTCCCATCAGCCACACATTTATTTCAATTACTATTTTATGTGCATGTTTACTTTTCTATCACTGCAGGGAACTGAGCCACGGGCTATTTTCACTACATCAATGTGACAGTAAAAATACTTGTGCAATTTGGCGGAGATTAAAAATAAGCTCTAATGAAGTCTTTTACTTTTCCAAATGTTTCTAGAGCATAAAACAATGACACCAAAGAGACAGAAGGATCTAATAAAGATTATTTATTTCCAGTGTTTGTTGAGGAAGGGCATTGCACCCATGTTTTGCTGTACACAGACGAGATGTTCACTGTTCAGAAAACATTGTCTCATGCAGTTTTAAAGTTAAGTTTGTTTGTTTTCTCCCAGGTTTTAAGCGCCCATGCATTTTACTGCACTTTAAAAAAATGGGGCTGGGGGGATAAAAATGTAAAGTAAAACTATAATGAAACGTAGACACTGACATAAATTTGAATGCTCTGATGTTGCTGTGAGTTTAACTAAAAACAGGAAAGACCACAACACAAAACAAAACAAAAAATTTGGAATGCCTGTGAGATTATTATCCCCTAAAAATGCTTTAAAAATTCTTCTCGTCTTGACAACTGTTGGTAAAAACAGTTTAAAAAAAAGAAAAGAAAAAAAAAAGAGGCACTTTCTTTTTGAGATACAAACAAGTCGTGTAAAAACTTACTTTTTGGACTATAACTGGACAAAGTTTGGAAATAAAAACTACTGTACCAAGCATTACATACTATAGTATCAGCATTTCATTACGTCTTTTCAGTCTTTATTTGATAAAACTATAATAATCCTCCAGTCCCTCAAGCTAATATCTGGCTGTTGTGACTGTACTGTGAAAAAACAAACTTCCCACAGCACCCAGCTCAGAAAGCAGCCCTCAGTTACATCCACATACTTCAAGTACAGGCAAGAAAAAAACACATACATATTGTTTTTGAAAATGACAATATTGTCACAAGCAACTAGTGTTAGTCCAAAGAGAGTAATACATTCTTCATACCGCTTATAATAGGAAGAACTGAACCATGATTCCTTTAAAAAAAGCCTCCTGCATTCTTCAGTAATAGTCAAGTTGACCCTTTTATAGTGCTGTATAACAATCCAGAGTCCATTTCTGTCCTTTCGAACATCACATATCAACAGCAAAGTCACATTCTTGCATTAGTAGGGTTCGATCTCGCAGGAGGAAGTCCGAGTTTTTTTTCCACGTCTGTTCCAGTATGGCCAACAAGTCAGTGGAATTACACACATAAACATCTCTTCAGCATTATTCCAGTAACAATCATGTAAGCCTATACACAGTATGTACAGTAGATACATAAAGTATACTTTGTAGAAAAAATATTGTGCAGTAACCTTAGCTAAAATACCCACATTCGTACATTCACGCATTCATTCCGTTGGTTTTAAAATCCGTACAAACACACGAGACAAGACCCCTCTTGCCGTTTCACAGATACTGGTAGAACCGTGAGCGGACAACTTGCGCTCCAGACAGTTTGTGTGGGTGAGCGTCCCCCCCGACACTGGCTTTGTTTTTGCCCTGCAGCCCGCTACCGTTAACGTGCTCCCCTGTTAGCGGCTGTGCACCCGGGGACGCAGAAGGAGGAGGTCTTTCCGGAGCGACGTCCTGGGCGTCTGCTTGATCATCCTCAGGAACGGCTTTGGGCGCGACCTCAACGCTCGAATCAGAGCCTCTGCACCGCTCTCTGGCGATCCAGTCCCGGATGGAGAAGTCCTGAGAGGAACATCTGGGCTTGAGGCGGTCCAGAGCGGACAGTTCGGCCGCCTGGTCCACGCCGCCCTGCTCCCTCCAGTCGTTGATGACCGCCAGCTCTGCGAAGTCTCTCTGCCCGCCCATGGTGTGCCTCCGACGGATGTTCTTCTTCTTCCCGCGAGCGTCCGGGGTTCGGTTCTTCTGGGTGAACATGTCGTCAGCAGACGTGCGTAACCTGAATTTGAGCCGCTCTGTGATCTTAAGGTGCCAGGCCGGTTCGGGACGCTCCGACTCGCTGCGTGACGACGAGCTGAGGCTGCTTGTGGACCGCCCTTTCTTCATCACCTCCAGGACTCGAGAGAGCCGCGTTGAAGACTCCGCTCTACCCTCGCTGCGCTCCCCGCTCCCAGCAACACCTTCCACTGATGATTCACTGTCTGTTTTCTGTCTGAGGGACCACCTTCTGGAGAGGGTGTCACACTCGATCATCCTGTGCGAAGGGAAAAGCCGCCGTGCTTCCAGTTTCGGTGTGGCGCTCCCCTCAGCTGCTCCACCTCCTCTCGGTTCGCTCTTTTCCAGACTCTGCTCTGGGCAGGGCGTAGACTGGCTGCTGCCACCGCCCGGGGCAAAAACCGGGAAGTCACTTTCGCTGTCCGTCTCCATGGGTCGTCCCTCGCTAATGAGCTCGCTGCGTTCGTCATCTGCCTCCTCCCCGCACTGCAGCTCCGGACTGAGTGCGCTGGACTCTGCGCCGGTCAAAAATGTGATGGAGGAAGTGGTGGAGTAGTCTGAGGTGATGGAGCTCACCTCTGCACCGGCGGACGCCCCCGGACCTGCTCCCAGTCCCACACATGCTGCCGCGGTAAGGTCAGCGGTCGCTCCGGCAGTCCACTTTTTCGGTCTTGACCGTGGAACTGACGCTCCAGAGCTCATGGTCCCGAGGTCTGAGGTGTTTTCATCGAGCTGGGATGGGGGATCCGACAAGGAGGATTTCCCTTGAGGAGCAGTTTGGTAGCCAGGGATGATTGGGGAAGGGGAGGGGGACGGTGAGGGGTGTCTGGGTGGAGTCTTCTCCTTCAGGAATAAGGAGTTTCTATGCTCTCTCTTGGCTTTAGGTGTGAGCTCCACAGTTCTCCCGTTCTCTTTCCTCTCCTCTGCTCGCACTGGTTGCTTTGCGTTGGGTTTAGCGTTGGGGCTCGGGCGAGTCTCGCTCTGTACCTCAGTCTGGAGGCCGTGGTGGTTCGGCTTCTGGCCAGGGATTTCCTTCTTGGGGAACACAGCATCCAGATCATCATCTGAGCTGCTAGGCTGCGGCTTCTCCTTTGACTTCTTTCTTTTGCGGTTGGCTGCAGCAAAGATGGAGGAGACCAGGAGCTCTCGACTGCACTGGTCCTTCCCTGAGCCCCAGGAACCCTGTGGAGCAAGAAAGGCAGGGGGATACAAAAATGAGTCTTTCTGATACTGAGAAACACAAAGCAGGAACACGTCAAAGAGAACAAAAACCCTTCACCACTGTCTGGAAACTTAAACCTGTACTGCACCTGCTCCCGCGAAGCACCACAAACCAGAGAAGTGGACAGAGAGAGGAACATTAACAGGCGTCATAAACAGGGAGCACATTGAAGTTTCCATGCCAGCCTTAAAGCAGAAGCAGGAGAAGCAGTAGCACCGCATGAACTGAAGCATCCCTGCACGAGCCTGAGCTGAAGGGAAGCAGCCACATAACAGCAGTGCAGTGATGAGAAGCTCCTGCTTCTGCTGATGACACGAGTTTTATCTAGATTCTCAGCCACAAGTTCAATGTGTCATGAAGCAGCTTTCTTATGAAAAGAGGCAGTGGTTTATTGGATGTACAGTTGGTTTTGTCTGGTCAGTACTGACAGACTACTCATTGCAAAAACTTAAAGCGCTGACCCAAATGATGAAAAAACACATTTTCTTACTGAGGCCCTAGGGGTATCTACTGATGCAGACAGTTTTATTTGTCTATGTTCTCTGCTTCCACCACATCTACGCATTTGAATGCATTTGTGGTGCTCACACCATTAAGATATTAGATGTCATAATATATTAATTATTAGATTTAAAATAGTTCATAAGACTTATTTTTTCCCAGAAACAGAGACCTGGTTACTCGACAGAACAGGCTGTCAACAGTTTTCATTTGTACTATTTCTTTAGTATAAAGTAGTTCCAGTGGACAGTAAGGTCTGTGAGGTTACCCAGAGTAAATGCCCCAATAACAGCAAACTCATGGCACGATGGGCTTTAATAAAACCTCAGCTGGAATGTGCGCGGCACTGTGCGGTGTCCAATTTGAGGTGTATTCAAATGAGGAATGTAAATTGAGAGACAAACGCAACACAGACATAAATTTTCTAACTGATCTGCATCTCTAATGACTTGAAAACTCAGCGAAAAAGACCAGAATAAAATGCCAAAATTACAAAATGACACTTATAACGTCATGTCGGTCAGTGTATCCTGAGTCATTTCATGCAGAATTTCAATGAGTGATGTGGGTTGTAGCAGCAATCACATTTTAACGATTTACAACCACTGTTTTAGATTAATGAGCAAAGATTTTACCACTTTTCACGTCTGTGTAATTTTGGGCTATAGATGATAGTTGAAAGTGTAGGGCTCCAAACAGGAACATTTTCTAATGTGCACATTTGTCAATGCTGTATGCACCACAAATGAAATTATATTCCATTGTACTGGGGTGGACGCAGAAAAGGGGATATGTATATAAGCTGGGCACATGTAACTGAGACCATCTGCAGGGCTAGATACCTCAAGAGGAAAGCAAGAACATGTTTTTTTGTGCGTGACTTGGGTAAAACAACTCATTAAGTGTAGTTTTTTTCATATGCTGATCTTGACTGGAGGTGGAGGCGATCTTCCCCGCTCGTCACCTACCTCCTGTCATCCTACACTACCAGTGGCCTGAGAGGGGTAACACTGCGCGCACACACACTCACCTTTGATTTAGCTGAGTCACTATTCGGTGAATCTGCGGGTGAAAGAGAAGAGAGGGACAAGTTAGATGAGTTCACAACACAGACCGAACACATTGAGGAAGTGCAACATGGGAAAATGAATCAGGGAGAAAAAAAAAAGGAGAAGAGAACCATGTTGATGAGGAAGATCGTGTGGAGGGTGAACAACACAGGACAGACTGGTGACAAGCGAGCACAGACATGAGCAGACAACAGACCATGCTTCACACAGGGACAGATGAGCTCTACGTTACACTCAGGTCCACATCTATCTGGCATGTGACATTCTTCCCCAACTCTGACCCGAACGCCGAGTCCAAGTCAAGTACGGATATAAGATCTTTCCTCGAGATTCTCAGTAAAGCTGAGTGCAACCTTAGCGATGAACACAACAAGTACATTAACAGCAGCAGAACAGTGAGGCAGATAATGTGCCATGCAACACAATGTCCAAGTAAGCAGACGTGAACCCTATCGTAATGTTTATTTGTTCAGAAAAACATCTGAAACCACAAATATTTAAGGCTCAAAAACGCTTTTTAACGTGCTACTTTTTCTCTATAAAACCAGTTTTTTGTTGTAACAAAAGATGCTACAGTTCTCAAATATTAAATGTGATCTAAACCAGTGGTTCCCAATATTTGTGGCTTAAAGAAATATCTACTTTCAACCCGTTGTCACTGTCTTAGTATGGAAACCAAATCCATCACCAAAATGGAAATATGAGCTAGTAAAAACAGATTCAGCTTTGTGACAAAAATGCATTTTTTTGGATCTTCTGGCTTTTTAAAAGGTTTAATTAGGTTAAGACGTAGTAGAATTTGCTCAAAACTAAAATCAGAATCACTAAATTTGGAGATACATGGTTTTCATTGGACAGCAACAAGTCCAAGAGCTCAATCAAACAGTGATGTTCCCTCCTCTGATTGTTTTATTTGAATATTTTTAGAGGCATGAAGGTAAAATTCTGTTTTTCTATTTTACAAGAAAAGAAAAGATCAGAGAAAAGTCTAGAAGTAATCAGAACTTCAAGTATATTGAAGTTACTTTTTCCTTGTTTCCTCTGCTGGTTTTTATCTCACAACCTCTTCAATTCATCTTGGAACCACATGAGTGGGAACCACTAGTTTAAACAGAGAACATTTTGATGTAGGTCAGAAACTCTGATCAAAGACGAAGTAAACAAGATGATGTATCTGTCTAGACTTTCAGTACTCGTGCTACAGACACATGTTGGTGAATACTGAAAAAATACAGAGGTTTGATACCTCACAGATTCACAATCATCCTGATTTCGATGATGGTTTTTAGCCAAACTGACGAAGCAACGTGAGGTGACGTGAGCTGCCAATGACAACAGTGACACGGTGATGACAGAGACGGCTATGGAAGAAACCAAAAAATAAAAGAGAAGTGACAGGGGGGTCACAGAGGGGCTAGCTATATGAAAGAGAGAGGACACTACATGAGAAAGAGAGTGTCAGCAAGGAAAACCTATAATCAGTCCTCACCTGCTCTGTAATCACATCTACCTATCATTACATCATCCTTCGGTTCTTGCTAAAATTTGTTCTTGTTTGTTTGTGTGACATAGCCAAGCCCCCCTATACACCCCTTTACAATACACATGATGGCACGATATGCAAGTGCACACTGACTGTTGACGTAGAAACCATACCATGCTATCTCTCCTGTTGGCAAGCTTGCGGGACAGTGAGGAGAGACAGCGGAGAGCCTTTCAGACAGTAGCACCGGCCTGTGTTAGGTATACTCTGATAGAAAACCTACAACACCGGACACTGCACAGTACCGTGTAGCCGCTTCGCTTCCCCTTTTCCTCACGGTTTCTTTGTTTATTGTTTCTCTTTGGCTTTTTCTTGCTCTTAAAAGAACTGCGGGTTCCTGCAGACTAGGCAGCTACACTGGGGGCAACAATCCTCCTTCTTCCTACAGTTCCAGCTGTCCATCACGGACATTATAGAGTCCATCAGTGTCATCATGGTGTGATAGACTCCTCCCACTTGGCCTGTGTCAAGATCAGTATGTGTGAATGCTGGGAAAGCCTTTAGGACACCCGACAGAGCCTCACTAGAGACAGAGGAATCAGAGGTCGCCTTTCACTGTAAAAACATCTATTTCTGACTTGGGAAAGAACATGCCGTATTAGTGCAACAGTAGGCAGGATAAGGGAGGGGGAGTTTGATCAAAACGAGGTATTAACGGGCAGAGGGATTAAAAAAGGAAAGGGACAACTAAATCTATCAAGACTGACAAATACCGTGGAGGGGGGGTAAATCTCTTAAAGCAAATGAAGACGCGTAACAATTTATTGCATCCCATCATCTTTCAGGGATGCACATAAATTGCCCACTGAAACCCACACAGGCATTTGGACTCAAGGTTAGCCATAGACATTTCTATCTAGTGGCAACAGCCAAAGAAGCAAAGGGGAAGCTTGGCCTACGGGAAGAAGCAGCGTTATCATCAACATTTTGTTACTAGTTTACACACCGGTCCCTCTTTGACCACAGCAGAGAAAGGGTAGAGAAAGGTTAACCCACCAAAGAGTTGCTCTGCCAAAGTGTTACCTGATACTTCACCCTGCGATGTGCCCGTGCGGCCGATGTTGGTGAGCAGGTGGTCGATGTTGGGGACGGGCTGAGACTCCACCGCACTTTCTTCATGGGACATAGTCTGAGAGGAGCAAATGTAAAGTTAGGACCTGATTCGAGAGGACATCACAGAGGAATCTGCAGTCCTAAAAGCTAAAATATTGTTATTTTTTCTGACACCTTTAAAAAAAGAAATCGTACTATTCCTCCAATGTATTGCATTAAATCACGTTTTGGTGTATGTAAAACCAACAGAAGAAAGTTTGTTGGAAGGTATTTTTGGGTTGTTTTTATGTGTTTGAATGTGATGTATGTATGTAACTCACTTCCCCAAAATTGCCCTTCTTTGGGATTGATAAAGTCTTTTGAATGAAATGAATTAGAGAGGACAGAGCTGAAAGAAAATAATTGAATGGCAGTGCTGCCTGTACCCACCACTGGATCTCCGTTTCCCTCTTCAGTGAAGAACCAGTCATACTAGTGGAAAGAAAAAAGCATTTAATGATCACGTTTTGTGTGTTTTACATGTGAAATTTGGTCTTATATTTTTAAAAGCAGTTGAAGATACGATGCTCACGTTTTGAATGAGGGTCTCCACTATCCTGTACTGGTCTGGCATGTGTGTCACCATATGGGTCATGTTGTCCTCGGTGGTGCGCACCAGAGTGGGACCAAACACGATGGCCAGGTTCCTCGGTTCCATCTAACAAAACAGAGAAATCAAGTTTTTATTGTACGTTTTCAATTGTCAGATCAAAACTAAATAAAGACATTTCTACATTACACACCTTATTCTTCTCTGAGTTTTCAGCCACAGTTTTGAGATGAGCTGAGAGGAACTTGAGTGTCTCGTAATGATGATCGGGCAACTCGTGAAGCTGAAGGTAAATAGAGACATAGTGTAATTTCGGTTGCATTTCATATAGTTACAGTCCTCCAATACATGGTGTGAACAGGTTGTAAAAAAGACAACAAATGCTTTAAAACTCAAAAAAGAGATGAAATGAATTGTCAAAGCAACTCACCAGCCTCTTGAGCACTTTGAGTCTCTCCACTGGATCCTCTGTTCGATTGGCCTCTATAAAATCTGCGTACTTATCTGCAGGTAGCAATGAAAAATTAGTTTATATATAACCATGTGAAATGTGGACAAAATTATGAATAGTATAATGTAATCTGAGATGACTTTCACTTTAATTTTCTTTTGCAAATAACTGCTCACTTGACTGCAGTGAGATTTCTGCCAATGAAAGGCCGTTTTGCCATCTCTAAGGTTATATCAGGGCTGCAGCAGCACTGACACACTGGCAATCTTACATTTGGTGCTTTTGTCTTGTAAATGACCACATTCAGTTTTCAAATATGTAAAAAAACAGGCCCCATTCTAGTAATTTAATTTTTTGTTAAATGAAATAGAAAATCCCTTAACACAGTTAACGTATCACTGTGTTGTAGTTCTCATTTCTGGCCACTAGATGGCATGCAATACCTTTTGAAAAAGCAACCTACCATTAGTGAACAACGGCTCCGGGAGTTTACGGAAGAAAGACTTGAGTAAACTGCTGATTACATTGAGGTCCCTCCATTTCTGTAGAACATGAGATCAGATGGGTAAATATGTTTATTCAAGATACCTGATGTTTCCAGTCTCACAAGAATATGTCACATCCGCTATCAAGGTGCTGTAGCTCTGACTGCAATGTGAGACTTCAAGGAGAGTTTAATTAAAGCAACAGCGATCAATAAAGTGACTCACATCATCCTGGATATCGATATCGTTCATGCCCTTGTTATTGAGCTCCTCCTGCATGTTGGAGATTGCAGCGTTGTTTCCTGGGACTCTGTAGATGCCTGTGTACTCCAACCCTCTCTCTTCCACCAGCTTACAACACACCTCCACAATCAAAGGCACAAACTAGAACACAGAGAAAAGGAGAAAATGTTTAGCTTATTGGAAATATATAACATATATAAAGGTAATCACTATTTACTCTTTTTGGTGTTTTATTAGAAATGAAATCAGGACGGACCTTGTTGTTCTGTGCAGGAGGACAGTCGTCCAGCCTCACTCCAAACGTGACTCCAGGAGATGGCTTCTTCTCGAAAGGTTTTCTCATCAGCCCCGGGATGCCCTTCCTCCATGTCCCTTTATCCTTGGGAGGGCTGGTGTCATCTGCATATTTACATATGACATTTGACATATTTACCGTAACTAGTTTGAAATATAACACAATTGGTTGGTTTTTCCTTGCAAAAGACAAACAAACTTATATTACATGGGGAATAGTTGTTTTTCCTACCTTTGTGCATGTTCTTCCTCTCCTGTTCAGGTTTGGGTGAGTGTGGACTTGTTGCTTTGGTCTCCCCTTTACCTCCCAGCAGCGTATGTCTGATGCTCAGCGACTGGCGTGATGGTTTGGGTGACGGCTCCGTCTTGCTGCCTGTTGGGCTGTGTGAGACATAAAGCACAAAATGAGCTCTCCAACCAAAGCAAACTTATCCAGCACTGTGTGTGAAGTATGAGGACCTCCGTCCCCCTTCTTTTTACCTCATCAAGGTGTTGTACTCCTTAATCTTCCTGCTGATGAGGTCATGGCTGGTGAAGACCGCGTTCTAAAAAAAGAAAGAAAAAGGAAGGATGGTAAGGGAAACAATAGGACACAATAGCTGATGGTTAGGGCATCAGGTGCAACAGTTCGCGTCGCCCCCCCCAGAGGCCATAATGGATCTTTATTTAACCTTCTGCTATCGGGTGACACAGGTAAGACCACTGGAATGCCGTAGTATGGACAATGTGGTTAAAAGAGGGGAAAGACAGGCTTAAATTTCTAATTGGAGGGGAAGGGCGCCTATTTCAAGACACAGTGGAGTGAGCATATAGCAAAGAATATCCGATATATGTTCTCATTATATGCTCAATAATTAATCCTTCATTTTACAAGTAATCTGACTACTTCTGAGAGTCCTGAGAACTTCTGTTATGATTTGGCGCTATACAAATAAAACTGACTTGAACTCAATAATAATACATTTGTGATCTAACTGTGAATGTCAATGGGAAATGCTAATCTCAAATCTCACTTTTCTGTGAGATTTGCTTTAAATGTTCCAGGTGGGATTCACCAAACTCTCTTAATAGGATAAACTTTTTGTATATTGCTCCTTTTACCCGATGAAACTGTTCATAAGGAAATGCACATTCGTGAGATTTGATCATTTGTAGGGCTACAATTAACAGTTTCTTTCAGTATGGATTAATCTGTCAATCACTTTCTATATTTACTGAGAAATCCTTGGATCATTAGGTCTATAAAATGTTAGAAAATGGTGAATTTCGCAAAGCCCAAGATATTCACTTAACTGTCATATAAGAAAACCAGCAAATATTCACATTTAGAAGCTCATTGATCAACTATTATTTGCATAATTAACAATTGCTATTGAAATGCTACCTGTTCCGCTCAGATTGTGGACAAGTGTCATTGTGTAGCTTCAGGTCACTAACGGTATTAGGAGACCCAAAATAATCAGAACTAGTAAAAATAGAAAGCATGAAAAAAAGTCTTAAAAAATCTAACTGGGCCATGACTTAAATGGGAGGAGTCCAGACAGCCATATAGGACAATATACAGTAGGTGACGTCACACTGACAGGTGTTATAACAGAGGATGTTAATCTGGACTGCGACCTGCATTAAGACCCTGAGGCAGCTGTCCTAGTGAGTACTAAACTGCATGCAGCAGTAAGTTGATGACCTGATGACATGATATAACAATCGATTGTAGGTGCCACTTAGGAATTATTCAGTTTGAACAAGCAGTGCTTGCATAAGGCCCACTGTCTTTATGAATGATTCTCACCTCCTCATCCAGGTTGCTGTTCTCCTGTATGACTCTGATCCAGGCCAGCATGTCCTCTCGATCCTCTGCCTGGAACAGGTACTCACAGTCCGACGTGGTCAGCCGCAGCACGTTCTTACGCTTTGTGTCGCTGTACGAGATGTCAATCAGACACGCCTTGATGCTGATAGGCAGGGGTTCGTCCACTGCTTGGCAGTTGGCATGAGCGTGCCCCTCCTTTTTGTCTTTATACAGGCAGAGGTAGTGTCCTCTCAACACGGCGTACATCTGTTTCCACGGGCGCATACCCCCTCCGACACGCTGCAGAAATAGGTCACGAGAAAGAGACGAGTTTTACAAAGCAAAATGGAGGGAATTAAACTGTAATCTTTCTGTAAGTGTTCCTGTTGTTGGCCTCATAACATATAATCACTGCCTTGAGGGTAATATGGGAGGCAATATGAGACCTCATATGGGAGGTCAAAGGCACCTATAAGTTGGAACTGCTCAGCATAACAAAGTCAGACAAAGATATACTCTGGAAACAAGGGCTGTTTATAAACCAGGTTTACAGTAGGTCATGTAAGGACTGCACTCAGCTTTCTGTGTCCGTTACACGATGTGATGGCCACATATGTAGAGTCAGTACACACCTTGCCCTTGTCTGTGTTAAGCTGCTTAAAATGCAGCAAACCCTCCTTGGTGGCGTCACAGAAGATGTCAGATGAAGAATCCCTCCTGGACCCTGAATCTTCTGACGACCTGTCCACAGCCTGTGATGGATAGAAAAATATAACATTAAGCCAAGAAAATACTTGTAAGACTGATAACTAGAGCAGTGACACATTTCAAGGATATTTAAAGTAAATACAGAGAAACAGTAAATATATCGAAATTGACTCAACATTTGAATCAATTAGTTACCAGAAAGGTCTGACGTTGCTTTAACAGCCGTCCCTATTTTCCATAATATATTCACATTTCACTGGGAGAGGTTTTATCTTCTGGGTATGAACTAATGAGCTAAATCTTTAAGCAGGAAATACAGAAAAACCAGGCATGTGGCAGGTGAGCACAGCTGGCAATGAACAAACTCATGTCTGATAAAAATATGGATTGGACTCACCTTCCTAAGACCTTTCAGACCAGGGATCAAGGACCTCCTAAATAGAGGAGAAAGAAATATTATGAAGCGGAGAGTGCTGAAAGTATTCTGAGATAAGAGATATTCAAGTATAGTTCTATGATAAGATATCCATCACCTGAAAAAGAGATGAATTGTGATGACACTGTTGCATATAACTTACCCTCTGCTTTCTTCCCGGTAGTTATCCAGACCTTCATCATAGGACTTGGATCGCTCTGTTTTAGTACCAGAATCTGACTCAATAATTGTGAGACGGAGAGAATCTATTAAGAAAGGGTCAAATAATTATTTGTAATTGTCCTTAAGCAGTAATGGTCATTAATGCTGCTTTAATATGAAAATACCTTGGTCATGTGACAGCTGGCGTCGAATGAGAGGGGACGGAGAAGGGGGACTGGGTGGGATGGTGGTGATGGTGGGCGCTCCAGATATCACAGCAGAGGCGGGAATGTGTGTGCTGTCCTGGTCCGTACTGGGACTAGATGGTTCATCTGAGGACAGAAGCAGAGGGATTTAATTACCAGGGCAAGAAAACACTGAGAACAACTGACCATTAGCTAAACCCCGGTTGTCCAATCATAGCAACCATAACTCCACATGCTGAAGAGGCGTGCATGGGGCTAGTAAAAGTGGTAATGTTACACAACAGTTAATGAGTTTGAAGGGCGGTGTCTCTTTTATAACCTTTTCAAAACATAAAAACACAAGTACCGAAGTGTAAAGAATGGATTTAATAGTGGCACTTGGAGCACGAAAGTCAGTCAATTAATGGAACTTGGGATCATGATTACAAATGTAAATAAATTTGGTTCAAAATATATCAGCTATAAAACTCTGTGCCCCATACCTAGTACCATTCCACTTTAACAACGCAATACAATAGGTGTTTGCTTTTGGCCCGTGGCCCAACCACATTCTCGATTTTGGCCCTCCAATGGAAACAGTTTGGGCACCCCTGCTCTGGCATGTATGTAGCCATTAACTACATATTTATACTCCTCTTTGACAAGATTATCATGTTAAAGCACGTCAGCTGAGCACATTAAAAACCAGCCGAAGACAGGGTTTCCAGCCAACTCAGAGAGCTAGTCAGCTTAATTAGCTAGCTAGCTAATGGCGAGAGCTGATACAATCTAACAGTGTAGTTGAGCCAGCAAAATCAAGAGTCACCGGCTGGAAATGATAAGCCTGCTTTTGTCTACCTCTGTCTGAAATCAAGAACACATTGTTTCAAAGATTACTAAGAATTTTAAGTGGTAAATGTGCCGCTGTTATTAATGCTACTAATGTGCCATATAATAATGACAGGCAAAAAAACAGGAACACAATTCAATTCCAGCTAGACTCCAATACAACTTTGGCCACAAGCTTGGCTGTATTCTGCACCAGGAAATATCACATTGTAAATGAAATCATGCAAAAATAATGTCTAATTTATCTCTGCTATCTCAACTTGTAAAACGTTTCAGCAGACAGCAATGAAAAGCTGTGATAAGGACACAGCCAAGCGATGCAGACAGAGACGCAGTCAGCCAGTAGGTAGGTGTTTCTGTTCAGATAAGCTGCTACACACCTTGCCTTTTAAATGCACATACGCGTAGTAGTCAGCTAACATTACATCATCAGAGACAAGACTGTGTCATAACATCTGATATCAGCAAAATGGCAAGCCCTAAAAACAAATGAGGAGACGCATATGATGAACAAACAGCTCCAGAAATGAATCATATCAGCCGCTGTGGTAATGTTGGAAGGCAGGTGAAACCAAATTCGTGAAACTGTTTGAACAACTCTTTGTAGCTCTAAAGTAGAGCAGAGGCAAAATTGTTAAACAATGAAATATGGTTTAAAATTATAATAGCTATAAATCCATCGCAAGATATGCAACTGTCACTGTTATTGAACTTTAAGAAAACCACAGTGCCTTCATTACAGAAAAATGCCATTTCAAGTCAAAAACAGCAAAAGAAGATCTAAATGATTAAATTCCTTCAAGTGCCAATGCACTGAGGCAAATCTTTAACTTTCAATAGCACAACTTAATAAGAAACATCTGATCTGCTTGTTAGTTATGTACAGATCACTGCTGAGAAATCTCTCTCTCCTCAAACCTCAAACGCATCTCCCATGACACTGCAAACCTCATTTATGCCAAGCCTGGCAGATGCCCATTTCATTTAATCACTTGTTTATATACCTCCAATCCTGTTTCTGGGAAGACGCCGGCACTCAGTGATGTCTGACACGTACAATTACAATTTATTTTTCAGGGGATGTCAGTTGTAGACATTGTAGACATGACTCGGCTTTAAACAGAAGATGCAGATCCGTAAATATTCAAACAAATAGTACTTTCAGAAATATGCTCATATGCTTTTTTTGCTGCAAGTTAGATGAAAAAGATCACTGACTATCTTTTTCAGTTAAATATGAAGCTACAGTCAGGAGATGGTAGGCTGGAAACACAGGGAAGTAGCAACATCCAAACTATGAGCTAGACTATAACTACACAATTTTAATTTACCTTTGGACAGAGCCAGGCTAGCTGTTTCCCCTTGTTTCCTGTTATTATGCTAAACTAAGCTTACCATCTCCTGCCTGTAGCTTCATATCTAGCATACAGACATAAGAGTGATCACTGAGGTTAAACAGAGAACACTGGTAAGTGCGAAAATCTCAATCTAATCTAGATCTAAATGTAGAGAACTAAGTAGCGAGAGCTGAGGTGTGTTTGTGTATACAGTGGGAAATGGTGCTTGGAGAGGATATAATTAACCCCTGCAGGTTCTGGGGCACGAAGAGCTGCTCTAATTGGCTGGAGATGAGTCACCAATGACAACACAAATGAGGATGCAAGGTCAAGTTCAAGCTTGTCAGATACAAATGTGAAGGAATATTACTGAACCAAGACGCAATAATTTCTCATCATACACAAGAGGGGACGTGACATTTTGCATGTATTTTAGCAGTACCAAATGTGCTCTGTTCCCAGTACAAAATGTTTGGCAGACACCTAATGTACAGCAGTTGTTCCACTTATTGTTTGGAACTGTACTATGAAATCTAATTGAAGCAGATTGCTGGAGGAATGCTCTTATTTCTCTGTTATGTCACAGTCCATTAGGACGATGTTCTTAGGTTTCTCTGTACAACACTGGGGGAAATATGAGACATTTCAGGGAGTGGGTGGAGGGGTCTGAGTGAGTGTGTATGTGTACCTAGTGATTGTATGTGTCTGTGCTGCCCTACTCTGATGCCAACGGGTGGTTTGAACACGCCGTGATTGCCTGCAGTAGTGTCACGCTGTCTCGTAATCACACACCTGACTTAATGTCATCCTAAGTTCAAAATGCCACAAGGAATCTATTTTCTTACCTATACATCTTCTACTGTAACGTGAGTAATGTACAGTATGCCATGAATGACAATGCCTTCATGACCTGGGACAAGTGGTTTCACTGGCAACACACTGAATTACCAAGGCTTGTTGTTGTTTTTTTTATCAATCCAACTCTTTTCTAACAAGCAACAAAATTCCCAGGGTATTTCCTGTAAAAGATAACCATTACATCTGATGATCTGCACCATATTGGGATATTTGGACACAATAGATTTCCTTGTAGTATGATAAGTAGGGCATCAATGGACAGGCTTACACTTGATTCTGCTGTGTTTTTGTGATTGAATGCAACTCCTGAAGAAGAAGAAGTGAGCTTCGGGTTGTTGTTTTTTTTTTTGTAACTTGGTTTCCATGGAGAGAAGAGCAATCACTGTATCCACACAGCTAATATTGGACAGAAATACTAGAGGCGCCACCTTAAAGTATCCACTACACAGTGAACAGTCCCTGCATGAAAAGCCCACCAGTTCTACCTTTCATGCAGAAAATAGCTCACTACATAGCTGCCGTAACTGCCTCCAATATGCTAAATATACACAAACCGTCCTCTTTGCAACTGCAGCTGAGTTACTCGCTCTTGTTAGAGGTATTAGAGCATGTTAAACCCCAGGTAGAATTTCACAATGGAAATACAATATACCCTATTAAATTATGCCCTAATGTCATGTACGTCTAATGTATATAAGGCTGGGTATTATTTTAGTTTCAATCAAGGCGCCTTTCAACAGCATTTCCTGAATCAACAGCATTTCCTAATTTTGACAAGGAAATATCAGACAAATACATAAACAAGATTAAGATCTGTTGTTACCAACCTGTACTTTGATACTTGACACATTTTTGGTTAGTATTCAGAAATGATCAAGGTTCAAAGCACAGCACTAACTGGATATGTCAGAACAGTCATGTATTACGCTATCAGCTAAAATCTCCATCTCCAATCTCCAATTTCAAATTGGCTCAAGAGTTTGCCATTCCTTCATGCATAAACATACTTTTTCACTCGCATAAACACATGCTGTGTCATTTTTCCACAGGACTACGCTGTCACTGCTGTTGCTATGGCAACAGGAAGGAGTTCAAAAGGAAGGAGGTAAGGAGACGAGTGACGAGAGAGTGCAGTCTTACCTATGAAGGGGATTGAATCCAGGGAGTCATCCAAGTCGTTGGAGCCAGACTTTCGTCGCGTGTCTCCAAGCTTTCTTAGATGCATCTCTCTAAAGCTGTCATTAGACATCCAGCACATAGCTCCATCAGCAGAGCCTGCCTTCACCAAGGGCGGTGACTTATGAGTCCCTCCTCTCTTGTTGTCATTAACCGCTAGTACATAGGACGGAGGTCGAATGTGAGGAGGTCCAGAGTTTTTGTCCCTTCTTAAGACAACGACTGTTGCATCCGGTCCTTCGACGCCATTAGTCCGTACAGGAGCGTTGGCTTTTGGCTTTTGGGTCACAGCTCCATTAGTGGTGGAGGAACCAGAGGAAGAGGCAACAACTGCAGTTTGTAGTTGTCTCTGCATGGGTAGTTTAGAGGAGGGACCAGAGCAAGAGGAAGACCTGGCTGCCAATCCAGTCTCTGACCTGTTTTCCATTTTCAGACTGTCAGCCCTGCCTCTGAGCTGCAGGTGCAGAGGGGAAGGGTAGCCCAGGTGGTTGCCCATGATGTTAGCTCTTTGGTCTTTAAGAGGGTCTGTGGTTTTAGTCGAGGATAAGGCAGGTGAAGGGTCCAAGATGGAGTTTTTGACAGGCAGCCGTGATGGTCTCATAATGACACTGTCTGTCCTTGATGTTAGTACAGAATCCGTCGTACCTTTAGTAAACACAGGAGCAGCCAAAGGCGAGTTAGATAATCCACTTCCTCGACCTTCTTCCTCCTGCCCAGTGAGACTCCTGTTCAGATGAGGTAAAGCTCGCAAGCCTCCTACCTGCCTGCTAGCTCTGGCTTCCTCTCCCCGGCACAGCAGCAGCCTGTCCTCCAAACCTGTCCTATCTCCGAAGACAACCCCACCTGGCTCTCCAGGCTGCTGTCCCAGGTAGTCACAAGACCTTGCCCTAGGTTTGGTGACTCCCGTGGGGGTGGAAAAAGGCAGGGCATCCTCTGAAGCACTCCGAGGCCAATTCCTGATTGGTATTGTCCTCTCTGTTCCACCTCCAAGCCTCTCTTGGGAGGCGCTACGTAATGGAGTCACAGCAGTACCCTGGCTACCTGCATCCACCCCGCGGTCATTGGAGGTGCTTCTCCGTCTGATCTGGGAACTAACTGCCCCTCTTTGACTGGTGCTAGAAGGAGGCGGTGTACGTTGCTGGGTGTAAGCAGAGCTGGAACTGGCTGCCGCACGCAAGCTGTCCAAGCGCTCCTGGATGGTGCGGCAGCCATACGTGTGCAGCCTCTTGGCGTCAATATAGTCCTTATAGGTGGTGTAGTTTTTCCAGTCAATGTTTTGGTGTGGAGAGGTGGATGGGGCTGTGGGGGAGGGTGAGTAGTGGTTGGAGCTGGGTGAGATGGCAGTGGAGAACGTGTCTGGAGAGGCAGGGGTAATAGGGACCCGTACGGGTGGAGATAATGTGTCAGTATAGATCGGGCCAGGTCTAGAACTTGAGGAGGGGGAGTAGACTGGGGTTTCTGTGGAACGGGAAGAGGGGTACTGCAACTGTGCACCCCCGGGTACTGAGGGAATAAGGGGTCTGGGTCTAGCTGAGCCGGAATCTGCTGAAGAACCGTACCGGTTTTCCTCTGTCCTGTGGCTGGGTCCAGCCCGAGCCACCCGGGAGCCCCTGTCCACTGGATCAAGAGGCATGGCCACTGTCCTCACATTCTCATTACAGACGCACACCACCGTCTGAGACTTTGACGTCTGTTGTGAAGGAGGAGATGGCGGAACAGGGATTTCCACCCGGTAACTCTTTTCTATGGGCCCTCCACGTCGTCCTGGTCCCTGAGCCGGCCCTCCGGGGGTGTCACTGACTGTAGTGGGCTCTGGTGTCTGAGTCATGCCCGCAGTCTTAACTTCTATCCGTGGGTAGCAGATAGGAGGGGGCTCAGGGATGTTCTGGGCATTTCCGCTGTACGCCTCATTTCCTTTGAGGTATGCATCCTGGGAATACGCCTGCAAGAGATTATAGGACATTATGTCACTTTAGCTGCTGAGAGGTTGAAGCGCTAAAATAGATCACATTAAACCCCGGGAGAACATCACACCCAACCAGGGACAGGATACATTAGACTTTCCTTAAAGAAATACGAATCAGGGAGTGCTTGAACTACAGATGAACTTTGGGGCGATCTCTTATATCGCTAGATGACAGATTTACTGCCACAACTATGACTTCATCCTCTGCCATTACACCTACAGCATCAATCCTTTATTTCTAAAATACCTTAACAGCGCCACAGCAATGTGATAACTCGCATTTTGAAAGTAGTGAAAAAATAGTAACCCACTAGTGCCATTTATTGACAAGAGTCTTTGTGTGAGCTAATATCAGCAAGACAAACACTGTTACTGGATTCCGTCAGAGAACTGTAAGTGACAGATAGACAACTGGATTTAGCCTGTCTACAACAATAAAACAACAGCATGTTAAAAGTAGACACAGCGCTCCAGTACTATTTCTCCAATTCAAACACAGCTGTCACTCTGTTAACTCTGTTTCTCAATCTTTTCCTAGGAGACGGCAAACAAATGTTACAGCATGCCATGATACAACTTAACTGCCCTAAGAAGAAAAAGATGTGGTCGAGTGGGAAACAAGGCAAGTCAGGAAGGCAAATGCGTAGAGAAAGAAGGCTGGAAAGTCCAGAATAAGGATTAAGCTGGCAGGGGCTTACCCACCTTTGGTACTGGAGAGTGTGCCCTGAGGCATGAGGAGAGGGTGAACGGGGGACGCCTCTGTCTGCCGTTGGCAGCTAACGCTACTTCTGTCAGCATGACTCCACAACTCTAATGTCACTGTAAAAGCTGAGCTACTTCCCTTGATTAAAACTTGAAGAAAAACACTCAAATGTAGCTAGTTATAACCCTGCATATTCTACGGTGAATGATCACCACAGACGGATTCAGAAAAAAAGCTCCCGGTTGAATATCGGACACGCTATATTTCCTCATCCCTTCAGCGCACAAGCTCTTGAGAAAATGAACGGGAGAGAGTGGTGATGTTGGACTTTAATCGTTAGCACTCTACCTAAGGTGTCGGGTTACAATTGAACTAACAGCAGCCGCAGTCAGTCTGCTGCTGGTGACTCCCTCTGGATTTGCATATGTCATACAGTTAAATAATAACTATTTCCTGAATACGGAAAGAATGGGGAAATGTTTGCTGACTCATGAAATATTTGTTTTTTCAGCACACACATCCGTCTTTCAACATGCTATTCAGGAAAAAAATAATTAAAAAACCCTACTAAACCACGATACACATACTGCGAAGGGGGGGGGAAGTATATTTGGGGTTTTAGGTGTTTGCCAGATTCTGTATGTGCAAATACAAGCTGTAAAGGTGTAATAAGAGCTGTGAATCATCAGGAGAGAAAGAGAGCTTAAAAGAAAGTCATAAGTTAGTATAGTTTCCCTCCTTACCAGAGCAGTGATATCCCTGGAAAACTGCAGTCCACAGGTTAGAGAAGGGCAAGCAGAGAGATAAAAAGGGAATAAAGAGAAGTAAACAGGTGAACATAGAGAAATGAGAGGTACAACGCAACCGATGGACTTGACACAGGCAACTAGTCTGACTTCAGCACAGGCTAAAAATACATTCCGCTGTGGGGACGCTGTGAAGAGGCATCACAGTCGGAGAGTCAAGTAGGAAGAAGGAGAAAGAAGAAGAATAGAGGTGAACTTCAGCAGTGTTGGTTTCCTTCTCAGATCTGAATGTCTTCTGAGTTGCAGTTCATCCCCATTATTTCCTCCTCTTACCCCACTTCTTCCTCTACCCATAACACAGCTGCTGTCAAAATACATTGGCAAACATATTCTGCTGGATTTCTTTCCGTTCCTTTCCTTTCCTTTCCTTTTTCTCTGTCACTCTCACCTGCTCACTGTGGTACCTCCCCTCCCCCTCTCTGGTTTCTCAAGCATTTCAGTGGCACTACACACACTCTCTCCACTAGCCCCTTTCCTCCTCTCGGACAGCCTCTCGCTCATATGTTAGACGCTGCTCTATCATATGTTCACTTCTGGGTGAGCATAACAGCACGCCTGCCTGATCTGCACTAGTTTCCTCCCTGACTCGCTCCTGTAAACACTGAGCTGAGAGGAGTCAGCTGACTGCAGCTGCACTCCCTCTGGTAGTGAGTGAGTTCAATGTCTCCCAAAACACAAAACAGAAAAACACGTCTAAAAACAGACATAGATACATCTATAGTGTGCCTCCCCCATTCAAACAATTCAATTATCAAAACGATATTTATGATTTTTTCTAATTTGGAAATATTATATTAAATATTGTAATAATGTCATATTGTAGACACCTGAGTATGGATAGTATATAGTGTCCAAAAACGTTCTTTCTTATTGCATGAACAGAATAAAAAGGTCACATTGAGCAGCATTCAGGATCTGTATTGATGAGGATTAAATATGTATTTGTGATTCTCCCAATGTCAAGCAATGTAATGGATTAAATACTGAGAAAAAAGAGAACTAAATTATACACAAACAGAAACATTTAGCAGTAAATTCACAACTTGTATTCTACTATCTTTAATTTTACTTTGATAAACCCACAGATCACTCTAATAGCAGGCAGATTGTAAAGATCTGTAAAGTAACAAAACAAGATTATATTTAATTTTGCCTCATGTTTTCCTCAATCGGGAAAAACAACTAATTGCTTCATTCGGATTCCTGAGCCTTGTGAGTGCTCAGATTCATTCCAAAATGCCAAAAGCAAGTTTCTGTGGCTTTTGGTGAGCTGCAGCCAAGCTAACAAGCTATGTGTGGAATTTAGCAACACAGTGGGATCTGACTCAGTTCTTTGCTCCAAGAGCGAATCTCCCCAAACAGTGGTGAATAACGTGTGGTGACTGGTTTGACCTAGCCTGGCGCTGTTTTATCGTCTGCAGGGCTCTGGACCCTGACTGCTTGCATCACTGAGTTCATCCCGGTATGGGTAGAGGGGATGTGGAGCCATGGCATGGAGTCTAGCTCTGTTATTAGCTTTTCTCTCTGACGTTCACATTTTTGCAAACTGGCCCACCCATAGATTTGCATCAGTGCCCCTCCTCGTCCAGACTCAGGTAACACTGTGACTATGTTTAAATTATTAACGATTACAATGTAATTATTATATTAATCACCCAGTGAGTTCAAGGAAATGTATATGGCTCAATCTACCTTTTACCCATGGAGAGCAGAGTATGAGTATGGAGAGATTTTCAACACTCTCTATCGTTTTTTAAGGAGTTTTCTTGGCTGTTCTTGAAGGAATAGTTTCACATTTTGGGAAAAATACTTTTTCCCCTGTACTTTATAAACGTCAGATGAGAATATAAATATCAATCTCAAGTCTGTGCGATAAGTAGGCAGTTGGTGTCAGGATGTTCTTAGCTGAGCTTATCTTAGTATAAAGCCTGGAGAAAACAGCTAACCTGGTGTCCAAAGACACACCTACAACATAAAAGCCGACCAATTAAATTGCTGTATATTGTTTGTTTAACCTGCCGACAAATAAGAAATGTAAAAGTGACAATTAGTGGTTTTAGGGGGCGTTACATGCTGGAACTATTTCTTGGTGAACAGCAGGGTGCAGCTTGACTCAATCTTATCATCACAGTGATGTTGCCAGGTTTGAAAACACTGTTCCAGCACACAGACAGAAACCTGTGCTCACTGACCATATCTGAGAACCTGCGCTACAGTCAAAGACAGAGCACAAAGCTACTGGATGGATGAATTGATTTTCACTGAGAATTTTACACTATGTTACTCTCCCTAAAACCACAAACTGTCACTTTTAAATTTATGTTCATGTGCATGTTAAACAAACAAGATACAAGCCGAGATATGATAATTCCAGTTAAAATAACTGTGATAAATAAGTTACATTTTAAAAAGGGCGCTGTTGTAGTATTAAAATAGCAAATAATCACAAAACCTAAGCTTGGTTTGCTACTGCATGGACAGAAAAGAGCATTTTGAGCGCTCTCGCAATATTTACTGATGAATGAAGGCTTACCAGCTGCAAAATGTCTTCATCCTTTGGCATCACACAGAGTTCCAGTGAGGCATCGCTGAGGGAAGCGAGGGTGCGGGAGACGAGAGAGAATGAGAGTGAATGTGAGAGAAAGCGAGAGAGAGACTTATAACACAGGACTTACACTGTGGAAAGCCATGGCATTAAGAGCTGCAGTTCAATGAAGCGTGAATGAGTGTTACACATTTGCTTGTCAGCAATAAAGAAAAACTATTTTTCCTAAAAAGTTTCACAATGGCTCTTTTTCAGTCTCTGTGTGTGCTGGCAGTGAAGGGCTTGGACAGAAACTGGAATGAGGATCTGAGTCAGTCAGGCTCTTTCACTCTCAATATTTCTCTTACAATGAGCCATAAAATGAAGTGATGGTAATCTTACCTGTTCTGGATCAAGGCTATGACTTGCGAGTAGGTCTTTCCAATGATGCTCTCTCCATTCACCTTCACTATCCGGTCCCCTGGATAGAATTAGACAAAAAATTACAAACCTGCTGTTTACTGCTGACAGCAACATGTCAAATAAACTCTGTACTTCTGTCCGTCTGCACTCAGAAAAATGAATCCAGTCAATACGGTTATTGACAAAGGGAAACCACTGTGGAGTAGCTCCTTCCAGCACAAACACACATCAGTTTAGATCAAAAGGAGAATACCAATACTTGTTTATTTGAAGGACCCCATGTGAGGATCCATCTCCATTCAAGTTTTCTGAAGATGGCCATCTTACAGGAAGAGAGTTTAGGAGAGAAACTAGATAATTGTGGGAAAACACTACACTCCTCTGTCCCAGGAGTGGAGAGAGAACAGATAAAAGCAGACAGTTTAGAGGGCTTGTCCAGGCCACTTAACATTTCCTGTAATACAGAGTGCTAACCTGGCAATAATGCTGACAGCACAGAGAGCAGAGCTTCAGCTGTCACCTTAATTTCAGGGAAACTGGAAGGAGCTGATTCACTTTTCACCAGAAGGGAGTTTGTTAAAGTATTTTTATCCTTGCGGCTTAAAATTAGAAATGATTCACGGATTAATAACAGAAAAAAGAAAGTGGGAGAAAGAACCAAGGAAAGGTTGGAATAACAGTGTGCATATTACACTTTGTTCAACCTCCCACAAAGGAGCCATCTGTTATTTTGTAACTCGTATCTGTTTTGCCTGGCAGGTTACAAGGAAGTGGAATTACCTACAGTACAGACGTGAAGAAATCTTGGCATCAAACGGCGCTTTGAGGTCAGATGTGAGACAGGCAGAGTTAATCATAAGATCTGCCGGTTATCAGAAGGAGTGCAATAATCTCCTTAGAGACTGTGTGTATGCGCTTCGTGTGTGTGCTTGTGTGTGTACCTGTACAGAGTCCAGCTCCGTGGGCGGGGCCTCCCTCCTTCACTTGCTTGACGAAAATGGTGTCCATTGGCTCCAGACGGTTCCGCTGTCTCCCTGGCAACGAGAGAGAGAGCACATGCACCGAGGCGATTGGTCACACAGCGAGGAAGAGCAGCAGCAGAATCAGAACTAGGCCACATTGCACTGGAACTGGAAATACAACTGCAGCGACACTGTGGCATCGGTGACCATGTTTTCTGCTGTTTTACGGGGTTTTGGACTTTATTGTTGGAGGACACTGATGTTTCTCACTCACTCAAACAATGCAAATGCAAAGAAGTGAAATAAATAGGTGACTTTTTTATTTTATCTAAAGAAAACAGCTTAGTTGTTTAGCTTGAATGATTATTCGATTATTATTCAATGCTCGACTGAAAGACTATTTTGACAATGAATTGCAAAAAAGTCAAACATTAACTTTGTTTCAGCTACTTAGTTGTGAGGATTTACTGCTTTTCTTTGTGTAATGACACTAAATCGAAAATATTTTATCTTTAGGTCAAAGAAAACAAGATATTCAAAGACATTATCTTGGGACATTAGTCATAATTTCAGACCAAAAGATGAACTGATTAATTGAGAAAATAGTCAGCGGATTAATTAATAACAAAAATACCCATTAGAGGCTGATAAAAAAGCAACTTGAGGCAGAAATGTGACGCCCATAAGTGTGTCTTTATTCAATATTCAATACTTAACCCTTTTCTCACTTTGGATTCTTACAATGCTCCCGAGTTTACCCATCACCAAACTCAGTTAGCTCACAGTGACTTTCATTATCAATTATTCTGGCAATTTTTAATATTTGCTCTTTGACAAAAACCCCAAATGAATGCAGTTCAGATAGCCCAAGATAATCTCAAAACTCTTGTTTTGTCTGACAGTCAGACAAGAAAATGATTAAGTGTGAAGGGTTCATCAATAATAAAAGTAGTTCCTTTTAATTTTCTGTCATTCCACTACTTGTTTCAGCTCAATGCTGCAGTCTTTTCTTCTATTTCTTACATTTATTAAAACAAATAACAGCTTTTTTTCGAAAGACCTTAATAGTATTATTGCCAGATTTCTAAATCAAGATTCACAATCTTCCTCCGTGGCATTGGTAGTTTGAGATAAATAAGCTCAAATGATTTACGAAACAAGACACAGGGAAACTAATTACATCCTAAGAACTTTTCATATCTGCTGTCCGTTGATCCATCCGTCCATTGAAGAGGACAGTGAGGGGAGGTCAGAGTATGCTGACAAGGCTGCATGCGAACAAGCCACGAGGGGTTTCATATGACAGAGGAAGAGACAGCACGCCATGTCGTGTGATGTGCATGGGGCGAACTAGTGGGGGAAATCCAGACAATTAAAACTATATAAAAATCACTGATAACTGCACACATATGGTTTTAAAAACAGTAATTCTGTGCATGTGTATGCAATAAAAAGGAGGCGGGGGGACTATGTCTGATTAAGACAGCAAAAATCGTCTTTCCCTGAACCATAAGCCTCAATCTCAGCTGGCCTCAGCTGCCTCTTCGAGCCCACAGGCTTTGAGGAAGTGCAACATCACAGCCCCCAGGAAAGAGAGTATGCAAGCTCTTTTTATGAGCGGCCTGCTTCACATGTACACAGCAGCAGATACATGCATTTATGACACGGGGTGCCCCGGTGCAATCAGTGCTCTGAAGAGTCCTGAGCAGCTGGACTGGAGCAGATGTGGGTTTTAAAGTGTTGCTGTGGAGTAACTTCAAAGGTGAGGAGGGGGGGGGGGGTTAGAGTTTATTTAATCATCAGTTTACTCCAGTTGGTTCAGCTCTTT